GGATGACCAAATGACTGAACAGCAGGCTGCGTTGGGGTGACCACACCGGCAAGGGGGCAGTTGGGGGCGACCAGGCCAGCAGGGGAGGGGCAGTTGGGAGCGACCAAACCAGTGGAGGGCAGTTAGGGATGACCAGGATGGCAGAGAGGGATAGTTGGGGGTGACCAGGCCCACAGGAGGGGCAGTTGAGGGCAACCAGGCTAGCAGGGTGGGAAGTAAGGGGCAAGCAGGCCAGTGGTGGGGGGGCAGTTAGGGGCAATCAGGGAGGCAGGCAGAGGCGGTTAGGGGTTATCAGATTGGCAGGGGGGGCAGTTAGGGGCAATCAGGAAGGCAGGCAGGTGAGCAGTTAGGAGCCAGCAGTCCCGAATTGTGAGAGGGATGTCCAGATTGGAGAGGGTGCAGGCTGGGATGAGGGGACCCCGCCCCCCCATGCACGGATTTTGTGCACAGGGCCTCTAGTCTCAATAAATAGGTAACACCTACTTTGAAGAAGTCTTCTAATTACTAGAAATAAAACCCCAAAGTACCTGCACATGACAAATGTTCTACAGGCTGGAGGAACGTTCCCTCGGCAATCCATGCCGTTCTCCTGGTTTATATTAATCCTTTCTGCTGCGGTCAGAAGAGCTAGTTCTCCTTTTACATTAACCTATATTTCTTTTTCATTAATTCTTCCCTTAGTGTTTGTCACAAAGGTGACTCCTTGAAGCTGATATAACATCTTGACTCCAGAATGAACCCTGAGTCTTGACTCCCCCTGGCTTGTGGAATGTACAAGAGAGCTCTGGGCTAATTACCAATTCCCATTAGTTCTGCCTCCAGGGCAAGCTGCCCTCAATGTTATCCATGTCTTTCTTAACAGGCCCTGGATCCCGAGCCTCGCAGCACCTGGTCCCTTTGCTCCCCAAACATTCCTTTCCCACATGGAGGTTCCCTGCTCACTTGCCCGGGACAGAGCCTAAGCACTCTCTTTTCTCTTATGGGAAAGCACGACACATTCCCAGGAGCAGTTGGTTGCTATCTTGTTGATATCCTCTCCTTCCTCTGCCCCCATATCCTGGCCTTCATCTGCCATTTGAGGCCACATAAGACACTGTAGGGAGTCGCCTTGTAGAGAGTCGCCTTGCCCCAAGTGTCTTCCCAGGAGACATACCTTACTATTTAAGATCTGGACCACCCTCTGCTGCAGTGTCTGGCCGGCCTTGGGCCTCACAAGGATATAAATGACTTTCAGGTCCGGGCTGGTGCGAAATAGCTTTTCCATCAAGACTTTCCCCAGGAAGCCTGTGGCCCCGGTGATGAGAATGGACTTGCCACCATAGAAAGCTGCAATCGAGGACATGATTCTTCCCTTTGTCTCTCACGGCTCCAGAAAGAGGTTCCTGAAAAGGAAGAGAAATAACAGAAGATTACATTCCTAGAAATTCTAAGATGTGGTCGTTTAAACTGTTTTTTTGGGGCTCTCAGAATTTTGAATGCGGAGAAAGGTTAGAGTGATAGCATCATGGCTTATCGACAACATGATTCATGGCAATCAATATTTATTCAGCTCACTGTACATGCCAGACTTTATGCTGGGAACTGTGGGCAAGAAATGAGTAAAACATGGTTCCTGCTCTCAAGGAATTGCTCACAGATGAATGCAGGGGACAGACACATAGAGATTGTTATGCAGTATATAGCATGGTAAGTGCTGAAACAAGGGGGACACAGTGGAGGGGTGCATAGCAGGACCTGGAAATTTCAGGAAGACGATACCTGAGTTGAAACTTGAAGACAGAGAAGGGCTGTGGCAAGTGTGTTCCAAGCCAAATAAAGAAAGAGAAAGAACAAAGGTTCAAGGTGTGGTGTAGCATGCTGTACGGGGGAAATAAAAGGAGTTCAGGATTGCAAAAATGTAAATAATAAGGCGAGGAGTGGCTCTATAACCTGTTAACCCAAAACTTAGAACAGCTATAAAACTTTTAAAATTATGATGTAATTATTATTTCATTGCAGTTTTTTTTTTTAAATCCTCACCCAAGGATATGTTTTTCATTGATTCTAGAAGGAGAGAGAAACATTGCTGTGAGAGAGAAGCATCGGTCGGCTGCCTCTTGGACATGCCCAACTAGGAATCGAACCTGAAGCCTGGGTATGTATCCTGACCAGAAATCGAACTTTCGACCCTTTGGTGCATGGGGTGATGCTCTAACCACTTAGCAACACCGGCCAGGGCTCATTGCAGTTTATTTAGAGACATTACTGGAACAAATAACTTTTGGATTCACTTGAGCTAACTGGCTCTGTCCTACCCAGTCATTTCTGAATTGTTATGTTCTCTTCCTTGAGCTGAAAATGGGTCTAGTGCCATCCTTTCCTTCATATGCTGCTCACAGGATTGAAACATTGCAACCAAGAAAGGGCGGAGAAGGTTGCACAGGGAGGCCACAGACCAGAGGTTGGTTAAGTCCTGAAATAGCACCGGTGCAGCCCAGCGCTAGGTAAGTCCACTGAAGGCCCTCTTTCCACAGCCTGGGGAGAGAGTGGTGGGAGCCAGCTGAAGCACTTGGATGCTGGGACTCCTGACTGACAGTCCCCATGCGGTAGGAATGCAGCATGAAGTGCTTGTCTTAAGCCCCAGCTAAAAGACTGTTGACTGGAAGCAGCATCTGAGCTTTGAGTGAAGGCAGTGCTGGCTCTAGGGGAGCAGATTTCCTTTCCGTCCACTGGCTTTTCCGGCTACAGCAAATCCTCAGCTGTCTGCTTGGACGGGGTTGGTGTGGATCTTGCATAACACAACTCCAGGGACTAGCCTTGGCATCGGGGTTATAAAGAAGAATATGCAACAAGTCCAAGAGTCCACACCCAGCCTCTTCAGCTTCGGTCAAGGTCACTCTGCCAGTAACTCCTCAGGAACAATGAATGACCTTTCATAGTTATAATGTACACGTTATAACTTATAGTCATGATTTATACTTTGAGGATCTTGCGGCTATGTTCTTAAGCAGAACTCTTTGCCTTTAGAAGATTCATTCATTCATGAAATTATGCAACAAATGGTTTGGGTACCTGCCATATTGTCACTCCAGCAGAGGAGGCCCGGGATACAGAGATAAGCACATAAATAAACAAGATTACAAATGTAGATAAAACTGGGATGGATGACAGAAATCAGACCCCATCATCAATACTATTCGCTTTAGGAAATCTGGATTTCAGATCTAACATCTGTTAGACGTACTGAGCTGCTATTTAAACCCCTTTTATTGAGGGTTGATGTGAGAAATATTATTTTGAAAAACACATTTGAAGGTCCCTTGTGCAAAACATCAATTAATGATATTTTTGTCATATTATATAACGTTATTCATATTACAAGCTATCCAACCATTTTCTCAAGAACTGAGCACTTTGGAAAAACACAGACACGTCTTGCCTGGCCTGCCTTGAAGCTCAGAAAAGTGATGTCACGAGTTTAGATAACATCCTAGGTTAGGACACAGGTTCTAAGGGAGACTGCCTGAAATCAAATCCCAGTCTATCACTTATTAGCTGTGTGACCCCAGGCAAATTATTAATTTCTATGCTGCAATACACTGGGGACAACAAAAGTATCCACTTAATAGTGCTGTGGTGAGAATTCTATGAGTGAACACATGTAAAACTCTTAAAAATATGTTACATAGAGTATATTAAGTATACACTATTATTATCAGCTATCAATACGGTCACTAGTTCCACATTTTTTTCTCTTAATTGTTCTTGCTTTTCCTTTTGACATTTGCTTTAAATGTTCCGTCTGAAGCATTTTCTATACCCTCTTTTGGAAATAGGAGGAGACAATTGGTAACTCAATTAATTGTCAAGCCTAATATGGTGTTATCACCAAACACAACTCCACTAGATGATGAATCTTGCCAATTCTTTTCTATATGAAAATGTTTTGGCACCATACTCCTCCACTCTAATATTTGGCACAAGTGAGCAGGGCTCAAGGCAGAAAAATTAAGGAAGGGAAACCGAGTTTAGATAGAGTGACTTCCCAACCTTATTTCTTCTGATAATATCATTGTTTTGTAATCTCATATGCTTTAGTGGAGTCATATTTTCTAGAAATGCAAATATTCTGTTAAGACATTTTGCTTCCAGACACAGTTTTGCAACCTGTGATGAAGAATTTTAGAGAGCAGGAAACATACCTCTCCCAAGCTTATTTCTCATGAGACAAAGGAAGGCTTGATATGTCCTCAAAGAATGGAATTTGCCTGCTCTGTCCACAGCCCAAATACTTCTCAAACACAACAGAAACCATAGCAGGGTACAGTGAGTGCCCCGAGAGGAAAACAAAACATACACCAGTGTCTCCCGGCACTGATCGCCCGGTCGTCAAGACCAGGTGACCACGGTGACCGTGACTCCAATCAAGGCAACCAATTCTGAAAAATGTCAAAGAGAATGTCCATCCTCAGCTCAAAGCTGCTTCAGGGATGTTTCCTCTGTTTCTTGCTTCTACTCTCAGACTATGGCTTGGTTGCTGGGCCCAGAAACTCCTATATAAAAATTGGCTCCCTGAAACTTTTTCCATATGGCATAGCTTTGCAAGGTCCAGGAATTGTTAATTCTTAATGTAACTAATTCATTAAAAGACTTACTTTAAACATCAAAATAATTTTAGAGTCATTTGTGGAGGATATGCCACTCTAGAAGGAGAAATACGTTTCGAACTGCTGACCAGGCCAGGGTTTGCCTTTTGTTGTTGTAGTTGTTTAAATTTTTTTTTTTTATCGATTTCAGAGAGGAAGGGAGATGAGAGAATCATTGATCAGCTGATCCTGCACGCCTCACACTGGGGATCGAGCTCACAACCCAGGCATGTGCCCTTGACCGGAATGAACCCGGGACCCTTCAGTCTGCAGTCTGACGCTCTACCCATTGAGCCAAACCAACCAGGGCAGGGCTTGCCTTTTATATCATCTCAGATCACAGGTGCAGAGAGTACAGGACAGGTTCCTACCCTTCAAGCCCATAATATCGTTTGTGAAAAGCCTACGTCACTTTGCAAACTCCAGACTCATCTCGTACAATGCAGGATATCTGATGCTTGAATGAAAAAAATAAGGAGCCTATGAGAGTCACCCAATGTATTTTTTAAATATATTTTTATTGATTTCAGAAGAAGAGAGAGGGAGAGAGAGATAGAAACATCAATGATGAGAATCATTGATTGGCTGCCTCCTACAGGCCCCGCACTGGGTATCGATCCCGCACCCGGGCATGTGCCCTGACTGGGAATCGAACCGTGAACTCCTGGTTCATAGGTTGATACTCAACCACTGAGCTATGCCAGCTGGGCCAGTGTCTTTTTACTAAATGTCCACTCTGAGCCAGGCACTGTAGACTGCGATGGTAGTAAACCAGCTGTATGCAGCTTAGAGTCTTCCTTTTATTCTGGAGCATTTTCTCCTTAGGATCACCAGTTTCCCCATGATCATTAATGAAAATAGTTTTTACTCTCCTTTTGATAGTAAAATGAGGCTGTTCTCACTTCTAGTGAACAGATTTTAAAATACTGAATTGTAATAGTTGTGCCAAGTTATACATTTTTTTTTGCACAACATATGGGAACTTTAATTATTCTGTGAGTAGTTCTGGAAAAAGAAAAAAATTAAGATTCAAATATTTAAGGGAGACAAGTTTATCCAAATTTCTTGGTTGTCCTTTAGATAAAAGCACTTTTATAAAAGAAACTTTGCCTCTAAGGAATCTTACTCTTATTTATTTTTTAATATATTTCTTTACTGATTTCAGAGAGGAAGGGAGAAGGAGAGAGAGATAGAAACATCAATGATGAGAGAGAATCACTGATTGGCTGCCTCCTGCACACCCCCTACTGGGGATCAAGCCCGCAACCCAGGCATGTGACCTTGGCCGGAATCGAACCTGGGACCCTTCAGTCCGCAGGCTGATGCTCTATCCACTGAGCCAAGCTGGCTAGGGCAGGAATCTTACTCTTGATGAAGGTTTCCGGGCCTTGGCTCTATTAACCTTCTGGGACAGATGCATTTTGTTGTGGGGCTGCTCAGTGCAATGCAGGGTGTGAACTTTATTAAATGTGCTCTAACCCTCCCCCCCCCCAGAACCATTGCTCTAGGGCAGGGGTCCTCAATCTTTTTAAACAGGGGGCCAGTTCACTGTCCCTCAGACCGTTGGAGGGCCGGACTATAGTTTAAAAAAAAAACTATGAACAAATTCCTATGCACACTGCACATATCTTATTTTGAAGTAAAAAAACAAAATGGGAACAAATACAATATTTGTATTTGCATGTGGCCCGCGGGACGTAGTTTGAGGACCCCTGCCTAGGGCCTTCTTTAATTCTCATTTTATAATATTCAGCACA